TGTTTGTATGCTCTTTATTGTGGGAAAAAAATCAGGGAATCAATTCATTCATCGCCAGACTCATATACAGAGATGTCAGCTTACATCACTAGCTATGAATGTGTTCACCGTGATTGAAGACCTTAACATGGATGTGCTTAAAGTTAGGAAGCTCTTCAAACACGCGTTCATCTGGAACTTTGCGGTCCAGAGGATAACCATGTGGACGCTTATCGGGGTACACGCCATGAGAGCCGTAGTGATTGTATTTGGTATTCAGATGAAGATCGGGCACTGCTGCGTCGGCATCACCATCAGTCACCGCTACCACAAGGTCGAATTCCAGACCCTTATCGTTGCCCTTGGGGAGAAGGAACCTGTTTGGCAGGCCTGTTGCACTCGCGAATTCGGAAAGGCCAGCGCCGCCTGCCGCGGTCTTTGCAAACAGTGTATCTATGCTTGGTACATCCGGGACAGTTACCGAAGATTCCGTGGACTTGCGCTCAATCGAATTTTTTCCACCCTTCACTGCAAAACGAGGAAATAAGAATAATATCCCTTTTCATCGTCTTTATATGATTATACGCACGGCTTACATTATACAGACGAATATTCTAGTCATTCCCCAGAACAGTAGCTCTATCATCATTATAATAATGACTATTATTATTGTTGTATTATACTGATAATGCTGATTATTATCATAATTATATATACAAATTGATAAACATAAGAAAATATAAGAAGTAAATTGTTTAGGACAAACAAACAAAAAGTAAATACTTACATGATACCCAGAACTTATCCAACTCGATGGCATTCCAGCGACCTTCGTCAAATGTAAATTCGATTCCGTTGTTGTCTTTATGAGGCCAGGCAAAGATGCGAACTGCAGCCAATCTGTCAGAGCCTCCATTCTCTATGTCAATCTTAAAAGTGAACTCTTTGTGGTTAAGACGTGGCACATATGTGCTGATGTCCACATCTGGGATTCCTTCAGCGTCATCAACTGCGTTGATAAGGTTGTATTCGAAATCTTCAAAGTAGGTCTCCAGTTCACCTACAACGTTTACCTCCGAGATAGACACGCCAGAGAATTCCAAATCGGCCTTGGTGTATGGAGGTAGGCTATCCTTGTGTTCTTTGAAAATGTTATCCATATATTTATGAAGCCGGAAGAAGCTGGGATCTCGGGTGGCAGTTTCGAAATGTTCCAGCACACCAGGGGGTAAATCGAACTTTCCATGAGGATCACCTTGACGACCAAGTACAATATGGGCAGTGTTATGTAGAGCTCCATAGTACTGCACATTGGGACTGTACAGTGATGACTCGATAATATCCCCGAGAATGTCAATGCCTTTCTCATTACTGATGTCAATCTGTTTGCCGTGGCTATCAATTATATAGCCATGGGCAATAGCATCGCGAATTCGGCTCTCGACGATAACCATGTCTCGAATTCGAGCAACATTGTCCACATCTTCGAATTTAACGTTGTCAGGACGAGCAGGGAACTGACCTCCATACTTGTAAGTGGTATGGGGAGCAAATCCGTCTACGATGGGCTTGTACCAATGAAGTTCACCTACTGGATCCAAATAATTGGACAGACGTTCGGCATCAAATCGGACGGTAAGTTGATGATGAACCCAGAAGAAGTTTTCTCCCTTGCGATCCAGATGATGGCCATACGCGTCATCCCACCAGAAGGGGAATTCCATATGCCAGGTAACGTGGTGAGTATTCAAGCCAATATCTTCACCGAAATAAGCTACTCTCTGTTCAGGGTTCTTCTTGGTTCCCGTAAAGGTGGACTCGAATTTGCCTGGCGTCTGCTTCTGTTTGGCACGATAAGCTGCTTCAATAACTTCACTGTTGGTGAAGAGGTGCGGTGTAATTTCATAGAGTGGAGGGAGCACTACGTCTTCAGCCAAAGGCGAGTGGATCACGGCAACATACAAGGCATACACAAACTCTCCTTCATTAATTTTCTGACGGAAATAGGCTGCATTGCCGACAAAGGTTGCCCAGTCACTGCTGTGGATGAGGACGTCAAAAAGCAGGAGAGCCTCCTTACGATGCCTTGTATTGAAGAGGGAGAACCAGTGCTTCTGCTCTAAGAGTCGACCGTCATTAAGGTCCTTTATCAGTTTTTGCACGGCTGCACCACCATCACTGTAGCTGCCTCCAGCGGGGTCAAAGGAATTGGCAGTAGCCAGCAGATCTGCGTCCTGAATGTCTCCATAGATCTTGTGCAGGAGATAAAGGACATCTTTTTGCTTCTGAACATCTGAAAGAATAAGCGTTTTAAGAATTAGATGATTATAACTGAATCACTGTAAAGTGCAGAAAATGGTCATTTACATATTCTATTTAGCATACAGTTCTTGCACTCGGCCGTAAGATTTTTACAAAAGATTATGCCACTATTATTTGTTATCAACTATAAGACAGTCCGGAGAAATACTACTCTCGATATTCAAAAAAACAATAATCATTAGTTAAGTAATAAAAAAAA